AGGGAGATCGTACCAGAGAGAGGATGAGTGCTCCGGGCGAGAAATTAGGGATTGGGTGAGGGACCGAAGACCACTTAACATCAATGAAGCTGCAGTGCTGGCAGATCAGTATATTGATACCAGGAGGGCCCCTCGACCTGAAGCTCGACCAGTCAGCAGACCCTTTCAGGTGGTGAAAGCTCGTCCCCCAGTAACAACAAACTGTCCACCGCCCTCGTACCCTCCTCCTCGGGCAGCGCCTGCAACACTTTAGTATCTCTCCTGGGATGGGTTGGGGGTCACAGTTTTTATACTCTAGTATCTCTCCTGGGAAGGGTTGGGAAGGGTTGGGGGGTCACAGTCTGTACACTTTAGTATACCTCTATGGAATGGGGTTACAGGCTGTATAATATATGAAGTGATGGTTTTCACATTGTGTTGTTTTCTCCTCTCTCAGCATTACTCTGGATGGTCAGGTGGTTGCGTGTCTGGATGGATGTCAAGCTATAGTGGACACAGGGACATCCGTCATTGCTGGTCATCCTGACGCCATCAGTGGGATTCAAAGTGCCATTGGGGCGATGCCGGACGCCTATGGACTGGTGATTACCATTCTTATTTGGCCAGGACTGCTGTAAGGTGTGCGGAGAGGACCCCCACCACCTGTAACCAGATACCACGCACGTTTATTCCACCATATTCCATGATTCCATCATATCCAGAAGTGGCTTTTTCCAGCAAACTGAGGAGACATCAGGGTTTCCTAGTTAGATTTGGGGTGCCCAGACCTCATTACCCTCACAGAGGAGTGTTGGGGTGTCTTTCAATGAATAACAACACACAAGCACATAACGTGCATTACAGCAACACATGACGTGAATGGACCCTCACTGCCCCATCAGGGAATATCATTGCTGAATACTTTGTGGTTCATGTATAACAAGTTCACCGAGTATATAGCCGGCTGCATGCCATTCACACAATGTCACAGTCAGAGGCTGGGTCAGAGGCTGGGTCAGAGGCTGGGTCAGAGGATGGGTCAGAGGCTGGGTCAGAGGATGGGTCACGGGATGGGTCAGAGGCTGGGTCAGAGGCTGGGTCAGAGGCTGGGTCACGGGATGGGTCAGAGGATGGATCAGAGGATGGGTCAGAGG